AACGAACTAACGAACTAACGAACTAACTAACTAACTAACTAACTAACTAGCTAACTAACTAAGTAACTAACTAACTAACTAACTAACTAACTAACTAACTAACTAAGCTAACTAAGCTAACTAACTAACTAACGAACTAACTCACTGACTCGCTAACTACCTCACTAACTACCTACTAACTAACTAACTAACTCACTCATTCACTCAGTCACTAACTAACTAACCAGCTAACTAACTAACTAACTAACTAACTATCTAACTAACTAACTAACTAACTAACTAACGAACTAGCTAACTGACTAACTAACCAACTAACTCACTTTCCCTCTATCTCTATCTCTAAATTTATCTCCATCTCTATCTCTGTGTCTCTCTCCTTCTGTCTATATCTCTCCATATCTGCCTGTCTGTCTGTCTATCTATCTGTCTGTCGATCTATCGATCTGTCAGCCTGTCGATCTATCTACATATCTGTCTACTTACCTATCTACCTACCTATCTATCTACCTATCTATCTATCTATCTATCTACCTGTCTATCTACCTGCCTACATCTAGCTTTCTATCTATCCATTCTTCGATCCATCCATCTTTCTATCTCCCTCCCCTCCTTTCTTTCTTTCTCTCTCTCTCTCTCTCTCTGTCTATCATATTGACTTCGACTCGACCTTGCATGTTGCCGACTTCGAGATTCAATCATGTGGGGCAATCAACCAGCACTGAAGACTGCAAGATGTGCGTGTTTGTTCCGGCAGTTGGTTTTCCACGATGCTTGAGGACGGCAGAGATCTCGAGAATTCTGCGTTTGACTTAGAAGGCGACTGCGACAGAATCGCCGGAGCGGATCGAATCTTCCACGGTCGGGGCACCTTTCAGCTGTTCGTGGCTTCGGGATAAACAGGCATGTTGTGATGTTTTCGGGCATAGACGGGAGTGGAATGCCCACATTGAGCGGAATCTCGAAAATGTAGCAAAGACACTGTACGCTTGAGAGCCATATAGCGGATATAGCGTTGGTGCAAGCTTCGTTGTAGTTGCTCTTCGGTCTTAAGTATTATACCATTAAGTTAAATTAAGACTTAAGACTTGCGGTTCTGAGACATAGACAGGTCATCGCCAGGCCATTAGGCCTTCCAAGAATCCGGAGTGAGTGAGCTCAGCAGCAACTCCACTGGAAGCGAATCCGGATCTGAGCGAACCTGATGCCTCTGACTTGCCAACTTTGCCCCCGGCACTACGTCATTTCGGATGTTCACAAGTTGCACATCGCACAGGTTCAGGCACCGAGTCGCCCGCACATGCCCTCAATACTGTCCTTGACCTTGTCTTTTCTGATCTGTGAGTTCTGTCGCTTTGCATGAGGCGTACCTGGTGCTCTACAGACGCTGTGACCACCTTCCAGGCCCCGGCTATTGAAAAGGTGGATGAGAATTTCCAGGCTCTGGGTTCAGGGCTTTGACACTGACCTAAAAGGGCCCGAGCGTCCAGACGATCCAGCTTTAGGTAGTCCCCTATAATTGCGGCTCCGCGGGAAGGTATGATATCTTTCGTAAGACAGACACCTGCAATGTATACTACTCGCCCGTCCTTATCTTGCAACCGCACCCGCAATAAAGCACTCTCAACGTCTTGCATTTCGGCCTAACGTTCCCAATCACGTCCTGACTGCACTTGCCTGCCACGGAGCAACACATAAATGCTGAAGTGAAACTCCCTGCCTCGGGAATCGAAACTCATCCCTCATGAAACCCAACGGTCCAAGACATGCAGCCCACTCTTTGCTCGCGATGATTGAATTCGACTCAGCTTTTATTCTTGCTAGACTATAAGTTGAATACTGAACATCTTCAAATGTCTGCACTGGTCAAACTTAAACTCTGCCGTTCAGGTCAACTGAGCCTGGGGCGCCGGAGTAGCGCAGAGAGGCCCAAGGCCGCGCTCTCGCAGGCTCCGGTTGTGTGTGTGTGAAGCATGAGAGTGCTCTTTCCTGCCACCAGTACGACGACTGCTGCTGCTGGTATATACTTTTGTGCCACTGCTACAACCAGCAGCACCACCACTGCTAATGCCTCCAGCATGTTTGAAGAAGAGGAGGAGCCCAGGTTGTCCTATGAGATTTTAAGAGCATGACATCCAAAGAAGCGAGATGGGGCTGGACCAGTTGACCATTGGCAGGTGAAAGTTGCCCTCCGGCCCCAGGACTACCAGGAACAATGTACCCCTTTGCCAACGTCAACCCTACAGCTTGGGTATAACTTGGTTGGAGCTCTGCCCAGTTCTCATAGACCCACAACCTTACGGCTTGCTTGATGTCTTTGCTCAAGGATCCTCGTCTCTCTAGTCTCACCTCGTTTACGGTCCGCTCTTCCGTTCCCGACATTGTAACTCTGCAATGGCGAATTTGAACCAACCAACCGCACCCACCAGCTTTCCTGTATTGCTTGGTCGGGACCACAGCACGAGAGTTGAGTTCGCAGAGCGGGAGGATGTGATTGCAGACGTCAAAAGCCCGCTGAGCAGGGAACTTGGCAAGGCCACCGGAGCTCCGACGACGACGCGTGATGAGACACCGCTGCCACAAGAGCCGTCTCAGCGACCACCGTCGCCGCCGAAACAGGTCTCAGATGTGCTTCTTTGCAAGGAGGAGGCACTGAGCTTGCAGTCTGAGCTGATGGAAGCCTTCAGCGCCCCTGCATTTCAAAAGCAGCTCCATGAGCTTGGGCGTTTGCATGGTGTGGGGACAGACGGATGCCGAGCAGCACTCCTGCAGTTGGTCCGAAGCACACAAGTCGAGATCATCCCACGCTTCGGCTTGCAAGGCTCTCAGGCGGGTATTGAGGGCATGCTGTCTGCCTTGAAGTCCCTCGAGACGGACCAGGACATCCAGGTCAACAACATGGCCATGAAGGAGCTGCTGTGCCTTGAGCTGCCCTTCACGCCGGCGCCAGAGGCAAAGACCCCAAACTGCCCGAAGCCAAAGCTCGCTGAAGCTCCGGTGCAAGCGATGAGCCTAAAGCTTCCCGAGAGTTTTTGAACTGACAGAGGTCCGGATGGTCGTGCAGCGTCCGTCTACGAAGCACCGCATCATGGACATTCTTCGAGTTCAACTCACTGAGTTCAGCAAGTCGACCTTCCAACTTGAGGCACGGGGCTGGCCGCGAAAAGCTTTGAAGGGTTCCTGTAATTACCCGCCGTAGTAGTGAGATTTTCCCGCAATCGCCGCAACTTACGGGCACTCAACAGTTCACGAGGTCGAGGAGCTGAAGCGCCAGGCGAAGGTATCGGATGCTGCGGGTGGCTTCTACCACCTACCTGGCCGCGCCGACCTGGCCCTGTTAGTGCAGCAGGCTGATGATGGGTTATCTAAGCTAGAAGGTCCAGAGGGTCTTCAGCCTGGGACGGGTTTGGCTCCTGCGCAGGTCTTGCTTCCCCAGTATGGCTTCGCAGGCTCCAAGGAAGGAGTGCAGGACATGATCCAGCATTGCGCCCCGTTCGTCAAGGATCGGATGGAACGAGCGTGTGAGAGAGAGAGGGAGAGAGCAGAAAGAGAGTTAATATGAAGCCTCTGAGATGCCAGGACCCAGACGTGGCAAGCCTACTCGACAGGGTGAATGACCGACTTGGCATGTCCTCTGCGGCATGCGAGCGCTTCAGGGAGTGTCTCGTCCACCTGGCCTGAGGTGTTTGAGTGATATTAAGTCGCACGATGCGCGCTCAAATCTTCCGGCCTGCCAACAGCCGGTGCTTCTCCAGCAGTCGAGCGCATTGGCTTGAGGCTTGAGGCCAACCTCATGTTTCCCTTGGAATTGTAGCTTTGCATCGTTACGAAGGCAAAGCATGAACAGCTTATTTATCAGAGTGTATCCGTCGTTTCAAGTTCCCTTCGCTGCTCTCGCATAACTTGGGCTGGTCGTCCCCTGGGAAGCCGTCTTGCCGTATTGCCCTCCTCTTGTACCGCACAGACAATCTGCAAGCTTAAATTAGTGAACGCGCTTGCACAGCATAATATGCACCACCCTCTCAGAAGGGCCTGAACTGACAAACGCAACTGGCTCCAACCCGGAACTGGCCATGCCCAGCGAGGGTGCAGCACTTGGATAAGAGCTGCGAGTGGGCTTCGTTGGGCTTCAGCTTGGAGTTCCCCACGTTGTTGATGCTTTTCGGTTTAGGCCTTGTCTTTGGAGGGTTTAGATCACGGCTTCAAGGGTTTAGGCCGGAAGACTACGTCTCGCCTGCTTGCTCAGTCCCTGAATGTCCTTGGGGACACAAGAGTCAAGAGTTCCAATACCAGCATGGCACCAGGTCTCTGTTGGACAACCCTCTCAATGTGCAGATTCTGATTATGCCAGCCAGCACTTTGCGTCACAGACGCGTGCTGCGAGACGGCCACTGCAAGCAATATCAGCAAAAGGTGCATCAGGACAGTTCGACTAGACAAGCCCCGAATCGAATCTGTCGTCAAGTAAATGGCCTTTCATCTCCAAAGAATGGTCAATTTTTATTGAATACCCGCGGAGCTCCGGAGACCACACCACAGTCGTTATATTTCTCGCCTGCATGTACGGTATTGCAGAGTCTGTTGCGACAGCGCAAGGGATTGCAGTGTGCTGCGCCTTCAACTCATGAGTCTGACTGACTTCCAGCATCACGCAGGCCTTGCAAAAGAGTGTGGCAAGGGCCTCGAAACTGAAGAACGAGGGAACCAGTGCGGAGTTCTTTCTTGTCTGTCTGCTTCCCAACTGCTCAGCTTGAATCATGTAGCCCACAAGAGGTCGGTTTCAGGCGATCAAGCTTGCAAGGCCGGTATCTCCGTACTTGCATGGTCAGAAATGCGCATCTAAGGATGAGCACAACACCGAGCTGTCCCGTCAGCGAAAAGAGTTTCAGTCGAATTCGCTCGCTCGAGCCTCAGCCCCAAGGGCATATCCCAGATCACAAACCTTGCAAAGGCTCTCACTCCGACTCGAAATTCTGAAGTCTGAAGCTTGCTCGTACGTGGCCCAGGCTCCTGTCCCCTGCCTCAACCAGTGTGGTATTCCAGAACCCTTATCAGGCGAAGGAAAAGAGGTGATAAACAAAAAAAGAAGCTTGTTTGGATTGGAGAGCACTTAGGCCGTGGAGCGCTTCACTGGTGAGCGGCGCAATGCAATCAAACGTGACCTGTTCGCTCCAGGAGGGCTTTCCAATCAAGAGGGAGTCGAGTTTGTCAGGCTGTGTGGATTTGCAGCGATCGAGAGACACCGGGGAATTGCCGTGGCTCTTCGTTCCAGGTTTGGGGAGTGTCTCCTTTAGCATCGGCGCTAGGCCCCAGAATAGGGCTCGGGGCTTGTGCAGGCTAATTGAGGCGGGCTGTACGTTGTGAGCTCGATTTTGGAGCTCTGCAGCAGACGAGGCCTCGATGAGGAGCTGCGGAGTGCAGGAGGCCTGCAGCGCTGCTGCACTCAACTTAGGCTCCTGTGCAAGGTCAGCAAGTGTTAGCGGCTTGTTCCTGTGTTTAGGAACGGACATTTTCGTCTTGCTTCGAATTCGTTTGTGCTGACTCCCATCATCTCCCATCTTCTCATAGGACTAGCCAAGAAAATGTTGCGAATTCTCGGCATCATATTCAGATGGTCTCTTCCTGGAGTGGTACCGTGGCAGACCCTGTCGTGACAGAGAGCCAGCGAGGACGAACGGAGGACCTGACGTTTGTCCCAGCGACCTGGCTGGAAAGGCCTGTCCAACCCTGGAAACCCATCCACTGCCTATCTCTTGAGTTGTGGCACGAAAGTGAACAAGGGGAGCATCATATGGTGCGTTCGGTCATGGAAGGTTCACCTAACACCTGCATTCTGCATGCCAAACCCAGTTTGCGCCAAGAAGCTATTGGCCATAATTAGGCACGAAGTGCCGAGAGTACAATAAATGCATTTGATTGCCAGTACGCGGTGACAGCTGCAGGAGCAGTTGTAGTGGTAGTGAGCTAAAGGCGGCAGCTGTGGTGGTGGTGGTCTGCGTCGTCGTTGTGGTTGTAGTCTAGTATGGGTGAACAGGAGGAGGAGATGCTGCAATGCAGTGGCACGTGTGGTAACTCCTGAAGCAAAGCAACGATACCAATATCATACTATCATGGTTAGCTGGACGAGATTGATATTTCATGTTCGACTGTTGCTCACGGAGCCTTGCTTTGTCGAGCCAAAGCAATGTGTTTCGTATGCGTTCGCAAGGACGTAGCCTTTAGCGTTTTGACCCGCAGGCTGAGCCAAGGACTGCATGTGCTGTGTGTTTCCGGCAGGTTCCTACGAGGCGAGGACAGGACGTTGCAAAACATCCTGGAAGGAGACGCCTCTGCACCGATCTCGGCTCTGACCGTTGCTTTACAGTTCCGCTGAGGTCCGGCCAAGGTGCAGACTGAGTCCTGCTAAGCGCGAGTGCCTTTATCAAGCAGTAGTGCCAGGATTCCCAACTTTTGTGTGCTAGACCCGAAGTGGCTGCGTTTCCGAATCAGTCACCTGTGCTGTCTGAGATCGTGCCGCCCGTCTACGCACAATCGCTTGTGAAGGGAAGGCAGGCAGAGCTTTCAAATGAGACCTATATTGACTGGCGAGAGCGGTCATACATGTAATGCAGATGGAACCGTCGTAGAAGAGAGCAGGTTTAAGTTATGGGGTTGCAGTTGTCATGACGTGATGAGCGACAGGGAGGTGGTACGCAGGGCCGTGAAGTTGTACGGCGATTTCTTTGACACCTTGAACTTGATTGTCGGCTTGTGAAAGAGCTTGTTGCTTCGCAATCTTGGGTTCTACTCACAATCCGATCACGCAGCTGTAATTTAGGCCTCTCCTTTGGTAAAGATGTCCACGAGAAGCCTTCGTGATAGAGCCCTCCACTCCAAAGACTTGCAGGGGTGGTGCGCCAATGGCCATCGACCCCTTGGCAATTTGGTGCGGGGAGGCCGGTCGAAGAGACTTCTTGACTCGGGATATGCATGACGCACTGAATGTATCTGAATTAAACTATCTGTACAGAATACAGACACGATGGAAAGTGCACACACGAACTACGCTCTCGCGCTCTCTCTCTCTTTTTTTCGAGCGAGACTTCCCCGTGCCATTCCGTGTGTGAACATACGTATAATATATACGGGCTCGCACATAGAGAGAGAGAGAGAGAGGCGTCGCAGACTGCATTTTACATACATGCATGCGCGCATGCATACATACGTACATATATTTGCATACCTATATAAAACAACATGCCTGCATGTGTTTGTTCTTCGTAGGCGCGTTGCTTGTCTATAAACAGACACGTATGTATGCATGTATGTTTGGTTTGTATTGTATTGCATTGTACTGTAATGTAATGTAATGTAATGTAATGTAATGTAATGTAATGTAATGTAATGTAATGTAATATATTGTAATGTATTTATGTATGGTTATCAGACTATGAATACATACAGACAAAAATAACTGCATAAATCTGTATGAGCGTATATATATATATACACATACATACATACATACATACATACATACATACATACATACATACATACATACTTACATACTTACATGCATACATGCATACATACATAAACACACACGTATTCTAAATATACATGTGCATACAGATATGTCCGCTATGTCCGCGAAGACAGGTGCAGCCACGGCAGCTTTGCATGGGTGACGTAGGATCAGCGGGAAATGTTGGCAGCAAAGATGCCCCTGAAGCACAAAAACCGTACAGAAACAGTTTGTCGACAGTTTCAGAACTGGCAGAGGTGCAACGGCATTTGTTTTTGTTTGGAGTCCGGGGCCGAAAGGAACCTCCCGCAGTCTGCAGGTAAAGATTCTTCCGACGGCGGCTTTGGAGCAGGCAATGACCAGAACTCGGTTACTTCGCATAGTGGTCCGATCGTGTGCGCAGTTTGGAGACGCAGCTAAAGTTTCAACCGTTGGAGCAGCTGTGATATCTTCCAAACACATAGATGGTAGGCTGGAGCTGTTGTAGAATCAGCGATGGGCCGCTGAGCACGATTTTGCCTCGCAAAGCGGAAGCGCCTGAACAAGGCTCGCATCTTGCCAATGCAACAGCCAGAGGCTTCCAGTTTACTTTCCTGGCATTTGCGCAAGACACTGTCTGAGGGTATTTCCGGGAGGCATCCATCCAAACCGGGCTGACCCCAAACCTGCTTTTGAACGTCAATTCCGATTGCAGATGGGCGGTGTCTATGGGGGTTTGGACTCGTCTACGCTGCTGCGGGTGGAAGATGCCGCGCACGAAGAGGCGCTACTGCAGGGTCTGTAGACTGTACAGTGGCGAAGCGGCAGGCATGGGTAGGAACTTATGTGCACTCTGTACTCCTGTCCGCGCCGCTCAGCCCTGTGCAACGTATCAAGACAAGCTTGAGGAGCAGCATCAGCACCAACTCACTGCTCACTAGGCAGCATTGCGGAGCTCTAGGGAGGCCCAGTCTGCTTGAAGCACCTTCATCAAAAGTGATTCTGGCAACACGGACTTCTTACAGTACCTGTTGCAGACGAGTCCTTGTGTTCATTATGCCTTCAACTTGTGGATTGGCCTGCCCCGAAACCTGAGACCTCACGTGTCAGAGCCCTTAGCCCTGAACCCGACCTTGGTCAGCACCGCTTGGATGCAGGTGGCACGCTCTGCCTTCAGAGCCTTTAGGCGCATTTG